GAGGCATGTGCAAAATAAATCCCAGAGCAAAGGAATTTCCGGGCACATCGTCTTAAGAGAAAAATAAAAGCCTTTTTTGAAACATGGATGTCACAGTACAGTTTTTTTGTCCCTGAGTATTGCCGATACTGCCTGTCTGTGCGTCTTAATAGATGATACAACTGCCTAATTTAGGTGTGAGATACTAGACTGTGAGCTAATACTGCAGTAAAATCATTTGTGTGCATTATGTGACATTCTGGACTGATTTTGTTTTTTGGCATGGTTTTTAAAATTTCCATTTTGTACTGTGTTTAATATTGATCATTTACCAAATTTGCTACTGTGAAACGTTTTATAGTGTTCATACATTTGCTCTGTAGGCGACCCTGCCATTCTGCAATGACAGCAGAGGAGGGTAAAGTTCAGCTCCTCACTGCTGGGCTTTAGTTACATTTAGGGCATCATATGATCTTCAAAGAGGGGGCAATTATTTATTATCACCCACCCCTAATTCTTCAGTGATATGAAGCTGAAGTCAGATATTCACCAGATTCTTGGTCGAATTTTTCCGTTCCACCATAAATGGAGCAGCAGTTCTGATGCCTGAAGCGCCAGAATGTAACTGCTGCTCCATTTAAGGTGGAACAGGAAGTTTAGCTAGCTAGCTACCGAGATGTTAGCGTACTACTAGCGATTTTTATCCTTGTTATGAAGAAAAGGACCAAAATACATTAAAACAACATTAAACTAAGATAAAACAATGGTTATTGTAATTTTAACAGAGAAAATTCTCACATTTGTGGGTTTCTTTGGTCTCTTCTTCTCCATCTTGCTGGTTTTTCTTTTTTTCTCATATCTCTCTGTTTGGAGTCTCTGAAAAACTTCCGTTTGGAGGGCCATGTAGCCCCAACACTTCACCCCACCCCTCTATCTCAACAACAGTCAGGACACCCTACTCCTAGACGTGAACACGCAAAACAGGGCTAAGGGCTGAGTGGTAGGGTCAAGGGGTGAAATAGGGCTGGACTTTGAATTGTACCACCTGCAGAGTTGCGATCTGCGTGTTGACTCCTGAAAGTGCCTCTTGCTGCCTCAGGTTATGGATAATGTCCATTTACGGCACCTCTGTGAAAGTGCTGTAAGTAAGGCTAAAAAAAAAAGGTTTAGCTGAGACTTGATCTTTTTAAATATTAGACGTCACTCATTAAAAGCACGCTGGAGGAATGACCGACTCAGATGGGGTGGTATTTTGCTCATTCTATCCTCACTGGTTGGCTTTTTTAGGGATTATGTAACTCCTTTATGAAATTAAGTGTGTGCGTGTCTGTTTTCACCTTCAGTCTAGCTTCTCTGACGCAGGCGTGGAGATCAAGGCCTTCGTTAACTCTGAAACAGTGTCGCCGCTTTGAGGACGTGGACGCATTCCATCATAAACAAGACCCATTATAGCTGATTCTAATCTGCTCTTCCTCGGCCGGCAAATTTAAGGCTGAAGGAACGGAATGTCCAGGTCTCATCATGGTCAGTAACACCAACATAGAAGACCAGGATATTGCAGGAGTCACTAAATGTGTCTTCCGTAGTGTCCTTTGGTAATATAGGCGCTGTGTCTCAGCTCTGTTGTACGTGTTGCCCAAAACAAGAAAAGAAGCGCCAGTTTCAGTGTGAATGGTTCACGGTTTGGTTCGGTTCTCGGTTTCTGGGCCATCGTGAATGTGGAGCATTTACAGTCTGTACTTTCCACACAGTTTCTCCACTTGTTTCAGTGCCCTAGTGTAGAGTTCATATACAGTAACATGTGGCTTAGAGATAAACAGCTGTGTATTAGGAAAAGCTCCAAAGAGTGAGAGAGAGGGCTGGGCAGTGTGACGATATACATATTTTATTGTGATAAATTATGGCACAATACAATATCGCTGCTGTCGGAAGAAAACCTCGTATCTCCAAAATGCTAACTTTACAGGAGAAGGAAAAATCCTCTTTACTTTAATGTAAGTCAATGGAACCAGAATTTTGGGCCCATTCATCATGAAATTTACACACAATGTAAAAGTCAACAGGCATTTTCAAATTATGTCAAAAACGACAAAACAAGGTTTTCTTCCAACAGCAGAGATATGCTTTTCTGAGCACATCGTGTATGTCGTCAGTGCCTGAATAAAAATCACTGTTCAGTTTTTGATAGTATTTTTTTTAAATGTAGCTCTTTCTTTATGCTTTATTTGGATTAGCTTCCACAAAGTCCACACAAGAATTTTAAGAATTTTAATATTTATTTACAATAAAAAATAAAACAAACATCTCTACAAACATCCTGTATCACAAACAATGCAAAAAACAAACAAAACTCAAGAACAAATCTCATACTCAACAAGAGAATCAATAACCAGTAATAACCAAACATCAGCAATACCCCAATAACGTCTATATGATAGATAGATAGATAGATAGACAAGTTCATAGATAGATAGATAGATAGATAGATAGATAAAGTAGATAGATAGATAGATAGACAGGTACATAGATAGATAGATAGATAGATAGACAAGTACATAGATAGATAGATAGATAGATAGATAGATAGATAGATGGATAAAGTAGATAGATAGATAGACAGGTACATAGATAGATAGACAGGTACATAGATAGACAGGTACATAGATAGATAGATAGATAGATAGATAGATAGACAGACAAGTACATAGATAGATAGACAAGTACATAGATAGATAGATAGACAAGTACATAGATAGACAAGTACATAGATAGATAGATAGATAGACAAGTAGATAGATAGACAAGTAGATAGATAGATAGATTGACAAGTAGATAGATAGATTGACAAGTAGATAGATAGATAGATAGATAGACAAGTGCATAGATAGATAGGTAGATAGATAGATAGACAAGTAGATAGATAGATAGACAGGTACATAGATAGATAGACAAGTACATAGATAGATAGATAGACAAGTACATAGATAGATAGATAGATAGATAGATAGACAAGTACATAGATAGACAAGTACAGAGATGGATAGGCAGACAAGTACATAGATGGATAGATAGACAAGTACATAGATAGACAAGTACATAGATGGATAGACAGACAAGTAGATAGACAGACAAGTTAAGAGATATAGATAGATAGATAGATAGACAGACAAGTACATAGATAGATAGACAAGTACATAGATAGATAGATAGACAAGTACATAGATAGATAGATAGACAAGTAGATAGATAGACAAGTAGATAGATAGATAGATAGACAAGTAGATAGATAGATAGATTGACAAGTAGATAGATAGATAGATTGACAAGTAGATAGATAGATAGATTGACAAGTAGATAGATAGATAGATTGACAGATAGACAAGTGCATAGATAGATAGGTAGATAGATAGATAGACAAGTAGATAGATAGATAGACAGGTACATAGATAGATAGATAGACAAGTACATAGATAGATAGATAGACAAGTACATAGATAGATAGATAGATAGATAGACAAGTACATAGATAGACAAGTACAGAGATGGATAGGCAGACAAGTACATAGATGGATAGATAGACAAGTACATAGATAGACAAGTACATAGATGGATAGACAGACAAGTAGATAGACAGACAAGTTAAGAGATATAGATAGACAAGTAGATATATAGATAGATAGACAAGTAGATAGATAGATAAATAGACAGATAGATAGAAAGAAAGGAAGAAAGAACTTTAGTGATCCTGAAGGGAAACCGCAGTGTTTCAGTAGCAAGACATATAATTTCACACAACCTTACATATACAGAAAATGAAACAGGAATAAAAATAGACATAATTTAAGTATAAGAGCAGAAATAAAGTATACCTATTTGCATATATACATAGCATATAAGACAGATTTGTTATATTCACATGAGAGCAGGCACGGAGTGGTATGAGGTCGTCTAAAAGCACAGTGACCATAGACATAAATAGGAGTTGCAGCAGTGTTACAGTGTAAAGGGTGCAGTGAAAGTGACGTCACAGCAGCAGGTTATGACATACTGCACAGTGAGTATTAACAGGAGAGGTGATATAGTGATGAGGTTCATGATGAGGTTTTATGGGATTCATTAAATGCTGTTTTAATAGCTTTTTAAAAGAAAATCTACTCATCTGTCTGTCAATTGGGAGCGTAATCCAAGCTAAAGAAGTCCTATAAAGAACAGTTCTCTTCATATAGTATGATTGTAGACTTGGCACCACCAGCTCTGCTTGATCTTTTTTCTGTTCCAGCTGATCAGATGTGTGAAAAAATGAATATCATTCATTCAAAAACATTCCTGAAGTATCGCAGTGTTATGTGTTTGCCGTATCGCCCAGCTCTACTGGGAGCATTGAGTTCTGAGCCTGTCTGTGTTTGATTTCTGTGCTCTTTGTGCTGCACATGTTTCTTCTAGAAGGACTATAAACAGTGCGCAGGTTAGGATCGGGTCAGATGACCCGAGGCCACGGGACGGTTTCCTCCTCAAAGCATCTGACGTTACGTAACCCAGGCTCCGCCTTCTTTTGGAGGATTTCTCAGAGGCTTCTTTTAGAGTTTCGGGTTTCTTTTGCCATCTCAGACACTCGATCACACGTGCTTCTCTCTCCTTCATCGTCCAAACGTCTGAGTGACGATGAGATGTAAAGTGTCTTACGTGCTGCCTTACTCTCCCAGACTTGGGCGATGCTCTGTGGGACACTCTGTGTCATGTCAGGCTCGTTGTAGGTAAATATCATGCATTACTAAATGCAGATGGAGGAATATGTGCTCCTTTTTCACTCTGATCAGTGCGTGGATGGGTTTTCTGTTGGTAAACAGAGACTTCGTGATGGAATGTGACTTGTTTGCGTCGCTGCTCCTGTAGCCGCGAGCGTGCGATGACGCCCTGGATTCCACTGTTGCTTCAGCGAAAGTCACTTTTACTTGAGTTGTACTGCTGTGTGTTACTTTACGAGTGCAGCTTCCTCAGTTTTGCTTTTCTTTCTGTTTCAGTGCCTCTGGAGCAAGTGTCGTTGCCATTGATAATAAAATAGAGCAAGCAATGGTAAGTTCCTTTTTCCATTTGCCTCACTTGCACTCTAAATACACACAATTTTTTATATATATATGTATATGATCTATATATCACTGCTGTCGGAAGAAAACCTTGTAACTCCGTTTTTCTCATTTTTCGGTTTTTGATATAATTTAAAAATACCTGTTGCCCTTTACATTGTGTGTAAATTTCATGATGAATGGACCAAAAGAAACATCCCAGAAATAAATGGAGAAAATTCTGGTTCCATTGACTTACATTAGAAGTAAAGTATGTTTTTTCCTTCTCCTGTAAAGTTACCATTTTGGAGATACAAGGTTTTGTTCTGGGAACAGCTACGTGTGTGTGTGTGTGTGTGTGTGTGTGTGTGTGTGTGTGTGTGTATATATAAGGGAAATCAGCTGTAGTTTAAATGGACATATCTTAACATGTACGGTCCAGTTCCTTTTGCTGTTTGCTTTGGACCTTGAGTAAGAATTCTCTATACTGAGGATATGTGCATTAAAATTAAATTGCAGTCATAATGTTTTTCTCACTTTAGACAGCCTTGTGCGACTTTTAGTTCCACTGTATTGATTTGCATCTGACTGAGAACTGTTCACAGTGGTGGTGATAGGAACCAGACGTCCACCTCTAAATGCTCAGTCACAGAAAGTTATTACATGAAATTATCCACTGCCTGAGACACTGTTTTACAATCATTTTGAGATTAAACTTTTGGACTAAAACATATTTTAAAGTATGATATGTTAATGAGCACAATAGCAAATCAGTAAGTCATTTCCTCTGTTTTGCCTCACAACAGCCTGCATGTACATCTCTGTCATGAATGGGTTTAAAAATATTTATTTTTAGACCAAAACCTTCAAAAAACTATCGTTAAACAGCGTCTCAGTCATCAGGCAGTGAATTCATAACCATTTCATATAGTAACTTTCTGTGAGGGAGCTTTTAGAGGTGGACGTCTGGTTCCTATCACCACCACTGTGAACAGCTCTGACCTCTGTGGCTGATCTGTCTTCTTTACTCTGTATAAGTCTCAGTACCCAATAACCAGATGTTCTCAGACTTTACAGATGTTCAGCAGCCGGCAACCATACTTTATAGCTACCTGTCAGATGAGTCTTGGATGGGGATTCTGACTGTTTGTTAAGGAATAAATGTTTGTCTATATAAAACTTTGAAAATGATGAAACTGACCTGTTATTTTAGTGGTCATAGCAAAATGAACACAGATTATTGTTCCTATCCTTTCATTGTTTAATATCCTGAGAGCTAAAATAACTTGTTTTTTAGAAACAAATTAATGTGTAACTTGCTGTAGTTATTCTGTTAAGGTTTTAATTTGATCCATCCTTGTCAAATTTAGCTCTGATTCCAGAATCTTTGCTTTTTTGGTTCTCTGACTTTAAATTAGGAATTATTATATGGCATCTCAATTCAAAATGTTTTTTTTCTCAATACAGCACAAATAAAGAGGGCCTGAACACTGTGGTTCATGTTAATGTTAATGTTAATTGTGTTTTCAGTTATCAGTTTATTAGTTAAAATTGCAGTATTTAAGACTTAAGAATGGCACAGTGGACCGTTTTCTAAGCAGTGTAGAAACACTACACAGCCCCAGGGGCGTTTCTTCACCTGCTCTGCGAGTTCGGCACGTTTGGTCGAGTGGGAAAGCTGTTTTTGAGCCGGTAGCCGAACAGAGAACCGATCCCTGTTTGCTTCCAGTGAACTCTGGTTGGGTCCACTGCGTGTGTGGAAGGTATCCGCCCCGGTGCCACATATTGCATCACTTCCTTTTTCGAGTTTCGTGATGTGGGAGACGACTGCTGTGGACAGAAAGCGCTGCTCTTTGCCAATTAAGTGTCCAAGGAAAATGAAAAAAAGCAGCAAACGGATAAGCAAACCTGCACACGGAAAACTGACATATGGAATTGCACAATCGAGCCCCCCCAGTAACAAGACTGACACCCCCCCCCCACCCCACCTCCAAACCAGCCCAGAATCAGTCCTGGGAGCTCAACTATTCGCGACAAGTATAAAAAAGCCCTCATACGTTGGCTGTGGGCTGGTATTGTATGCAGTGTTTTACACACAGCTGCGCACAGTAAATGCAACGTTACACTACAGTATGTTTTACTGATAAACCCCCAGCATCCACTGTGTCATTGTTACAGTTAAGAAATTGATGTTAGATAAATAGATAAAGATGTTTGTTTCAGGAAAAGAAACAAAGAAAAATAAGTAATTGCACTAAAAACAGTGCAGTAAACTGCCGTGTAAACGAGTTTCTACACTGAATACACGACTGAATAACTCAGTGCTCATATTTAGGTACGCTAGCCTTTGACTTCATGAATTCCACATTGTAAAAGCTGTAGGTTCTGTTTATTGTCCGGCCCAGTGTGTCGTTTCGTGCCTGCGCTCGGCTGGGCTCCGGTCATGCTGGCCGTCCTGAATGGAGCACAGCCAAATAAAAGGCTATTATAATGGAACGAGGCCAAATTAGATATAAATAAAGAGAGAAAACAGATGGTGTTGCAGAGGGGACGGTGGATGGGTTAGGATGTGGATCTCGCACTGATGTTGCTGACGAGGGTGTCGCAGGCAGGGCAGCGGTGGATTTGATTATCGATTATTCAGAATTATTTATTCAAATACACTCAGTATGCAAATGGGATTATTTAGACCTGTGTTTCCCAGCCCCGTCCTCAGGACCACATTTTTCTTTCATCTCTGTGTGTTGAGTTGTGTGGACCATCTGGGTTACGGATATGCATATTAACCATATATCAAGTATTCTCCAAGATAAATCGCTAAATCAGCCTAAAATGCTACAATAAATAACTGAATTAAGCTAAAGTGCAAAGATGAATCACTAAAACAACTAAAAACACAAAGATAAATCACTAAATTAGCCAAAACTGCAAAAATAAATCTCTAATTCAGCCAAAAATGTGAAGATAACACCTTAAATCAGTCAAAAACAAAGATAAATCATTATATCGCCAAAAATGCGAAGATAAATCACCAAATTAGCCAAAAATGCGAAGATAAATCACTAAATTAGCCTAAAACTTGAAGATGAATCAGTAAGTATTCTAAAACACAAAAGTAAATGAACCTGTAATGCAGAGATTAATCACTGAACGCAACTGTCTTGTACAGATCACCGTTTATGCTGGTTTTTATTAATGAATGCTAAACCACAACAATATTAGACGTTCCTTTTTTCTTTTTTTTTACATCTGAAGACTGAAAACTTGGATATTTGACTAACAGAAATGCTTAAACTGCAGAACAGTGACTGAACTGAGATTCTGTTTGTCCCTCTCTGCGCAGGATCTGGTGAAAAGCCATCTGATGTACGCGGTGCGGGAGGAGGTGGAGGTGCTGAAGGAGCAGATTAAGGAGCTGTACGAGAGGAACTCTGTGCTGGAGCGGGAGAACGCCGTGCTGAAGAGTCTCGCCAACAACGAGCAGCTCTCGCAGCTTTCGGCCGCTGCCACCTCGAACCCGAACAGCAACCCAAACAACCCCAGTACAAACCTCAGTGCCCCCAACCCCAACCCCAGCAGCACTCCCTCCCAGCCCCCGCCTCAGTTCCAGCCCGACATCAGCCAATCCACGAGCGTCCCGCTGCAGACGCTGCAGCCGCAGCCCAGCGTCACCTCCGCTTAGAGCTCCGCCCTCATCCACTTCCTCACTGCGTATGCCGGGGGGGCGGGGTTAAGCAGCATCCTGAAAATTTAAAGGGGCGCTCCGGTTTTTTTGGACCCGGGCTCTGTTGGAGGCATCTGTAGCGTAGGTCACTCACACGGACAGCTGGGCAAGAGCCGGAAACTCAGCGGCTCAAAACAGGAAAGAGAAGCCGATGGGCCGCCGCTCGGCTTCGGTTCCGAGTGTGTTTGAGTCGCTGCGTTTTCGGTCCTTTTACCAAACACCAGGACGTTTTGACAGTTATTATATAAGTGTTGTACGCTGACAGAGGCATCAGGCAGAGACGAGGTTGAGAAAAGCTGAAGCGTCTCTTTAAATACATCATTATACTCTCAGAAAATAAAAGTCTTGTTCACCACCAGCTTAGAAAAAGCAAAACAGAGAAAAAAAAAATTAAAAAATCAACGAGCAGCGCTTCAGTGTGTGTCCGTGCTGTCGGCCTTCCCCGCGTCAGGATGGACAGAGCGAAGAAAAAGGTGTGAGGATGTATGCCAGCAAAAGGGGGCGGAGCCTAATGATTAGAGAAGTGTTTTTTTTTTCTTTTTTTTCTTGTTTTTTTTTGTTTATCATTTTTGTTTAATTTTTTAAAGGAAAAATGAAAGAATCCAGCCATGAGAAGGGTTTATTTTTTAGCGTTGCTGTTTTCAAGCAAGAGTCTATTTTTCAGAGCCACCGTTACTTAACTTTCACGACATGATTATATAAATATATAAATATATATATATATTTTTTGTCTTTTTTCAACTCACCAGTCAATTTGCATTGTACTGTTATTTATTAGAGGGCTGCTATGTTCAGATCCTGACAGGTTTAGAGAGAAGGAAGCCTTTATGTTTTGTTTTTGTTTTTTTTTTTTCCCTCCCCGATCAATCACTCGATTTCACTCGACCCGACAGTGACGATAAGAGCAATCGATAAGAGAAGAACAATCGGAAGAACCGGCAGAATTTCCGGACGCAGCAGTAAGAGCGAAAGCGACAGGGTGAGTTCAAACACTAACGGCAGTTTTACCTCTAAACTGAGAATGTGAAGGGGTGAGACCTGGGATGAATGTACATTAATGTTTTTGTATAGAGTGCAAAGCATGGTGGGGGTTCTGTACAGCTTTTAAACGAAAGAATGAAGAAGTCTTCACTTCCGTCACCGATATGCTGAAAACAATCCGAATCGCCATGCCCCCCCCCACAAACCCCCCTCCACCCAGACCCCCATGACCCCCCACCCTGATGGTTTTGTGCATATGTTTATCAGTTTTCTTCGTGTTTCAGGTTGGGATGGGGATTACAAAGCTGTGAAAATCGTTTCAACCTACTTTGTAACCAAAGATGCGAAGCAGTGTAACTATTTTTTATTTTATTTTATGCACATCCTTTCCTTTGTATTTTTTTTTTTTTCGTTTTCTCTCTTTGTTGCTTCCTCCTTCACGTTTCTTTTTCTTTTTTTTTACGCTTTTTTTTTCTTTTTTTTTAGCATGTTCTGCATGATCTGTAACTTTTGTCGAACCACTTTCTTACCTCATATTTGTATTCGGCACTCTTATTGTAAGATAGCAGGCTGTGAACAATGTAAAAAAAAAAGAAAATAAAATGGGTGGAAGAGACGCGGAGGTGGCGGAGACGTAAAAATGGAAAAAAAAACAAACAAACTAGTGTTTCTGCACACTAGCCGCAGAAAAAAAATGAAGTGAGCCATGTTTTGTTCATTTAAATGGTGTTGGAATTTCATATGCCAATAGTTTTGTTACATTGCAAAATTTTAATGTATTTAAATAAATGCAATATTCAAATTCCACATGTGGTGAGCACCGGAGCATCATTTCACCTGGACCTACGGAGGAGGCGGAGCTCGAGCCCACACCATTTGCATATTGCTAAATGGTTAAAAGTATCTGTGTGAGATTAAAGGGCCTATAACCACGAAAAATCCAGTTTCTCCCACATTTTTGTTTTCAAAATAAGAGCATGTGAAGAGTATGTGTGCTACAAAACATTCACCAGCCCATCAGTCACTACACTCTTAAAAATGATGGTCCTTCGAGGGTTCTTTAGTGAAGAGAATGGTTCTATAAAGAACCATGAACACTCGAGGAACTCTTCATGATTAACAGCGTCTTTGCATCATGAAAGGGTTCTTCACACTCATGCAGAATGTGCTATAAATGGTTCTATATAGAGCCTTTTAGAAAACAGTTCTATATAGCACCAACAGGGTTCTTCTATTGTTATGTCAAGCTTGTAATAATAGAAGAACCCTTTTTGGTGCTGTATAGAACCCTTTTATCATGCTAAGGGTTCTTTGAGTGTGCACAGTTCCTTATAGAACCATATTACCGTAGTATACAGTATATAAATGTAATCTACAAATAATGATTAAAAACACAAAAATGAATAAACATTACACTCATAAAGATGGTTCTTCAAGGGTTCTTTAGTAAAGAAAGTGGTTCTATGTAGAACCATGAACACTCAAAGAACCCTTTGCATGATTAAAAGTGTCTTTGCATCATTAAAGGTTGTTCAGATTGATGGAAAATGTGTTGATAGTTCTATATAGCACCAAAAAGGGTTCTTCTATTGTTCTGTCAGGCTTGTAATAATAGGAGAAACAACCCTAGAAGTCTATATAGAACCCATTTCAAAAGGGTTCTATATAGCATTATCAACAGTACCTTCTGACAAACACTTTCATGATGCACAGAACCCTTTAATCATGCAAAGGGTTCTGTGAGTGTACATGTTTTTTAGAACCATCTACAAATAAAATGATTTAAAACAAAAATTAATGAATAAATATTACATTCTTAAAGTTCTTCAAGGGTTCTTTAGTATAGAAAATGGTTCTATGTAGAACCATGACACTCAAAAAATGAAAAGGTTCTTCAGATTGATAGAGAATGTGCTGTAGATGGTTCTATATAGCACCCAAAAGGGGGTTCTATTGTTACAAGCTTGATATTGTAACAATAGAAGAACCCTTTTGGATGCTACATAGAACCATTTTCAACATTCTATGTAGAACCATCTAAAGCACACTCATCAATCTGAAGAACCCTTTCATTATGCAAAGGGTTCTTTTGAGTGTTCATGCTCGACATTGTAACAGTAGAAGAACCCTTTCTGGTTCTATATAGAAACATACACATGTTCTCCATCAGTCTGAAGAACCCCTGTAGGATACAAAGAACCCTTTAATCATGCAAAGGGTTCTTTGGGTGTTCATGGTTCTATATAGAACCGTTTTCTTTACTATGAAAAACCATCTTTAGGAGTGTAAACAGAGACATATTCAGCCATTCAGATGTTATAGGAAGCGTTTCGGTCCAGACCAATCAGAACAGAGCTCATTTACATACATCAGCCTTAAAGCAGAGTAATAAAACCAGCCTGTTTAATGTAGAGGATAAGGAGAGGTTGAAAAGTGGTCACATAAAAATGAATTATGCCCATTTTTCGTACATAAAGCCACATGAATGTTATCAGTGGACCTCAGGGATGGAAATAATACACAAATAAAATGAAAGGCCTTCTAAAAACGAACAACACGGAGCATAAACGACAGAGGAGCTGCGCGCCGAGGCCGTTTCTCGTGATTAGGCTGTTAATTTTGGAGCTGTGGTTCATTCAGGGTGAAAAGGTGAGGTTAGCGTGGTGTGAGATGATGAGTATGTGAGACTGAACTTTCCACACTGCCTATTTGCGGACTGGTGTGGTTTTAGCTGTCGACTGAAGAAGCAAACAGGAAATGAATGTCTTCCCCTCCAGCAGAGAGAATTACCGCTCAGTAATGTCTTCCGTTTTTCTCAAACACTAGGGGGCGCTCCTGAGCGAGTCCAAAATGAATGGGTTAATATGGCGCATTCGTACAAAATCATAGTTTGTAAATGCTAACCAATCGGCACTCGGTAGCAGTTATGCCAACCAATCAGCACTCAGTAGCAGTAATGTTAACCAATCAGCACTCAGTAGCAGTAATGTTAACCAATCAGCTCTCAGTAGCAGTAATTTTAACCAATCAGCTCTCAGTAGCAGTAATGCTAACCAATCAGCTCTCAGTAGCAGTAATGTTAACCAATCAGCTCTCAGTAGCAGTAATTTTAACCAATCAGCACTCAGTAGCAGTAATGCTAACCAATCAACACTCAGTAGCAGTAATGCCAACCAATCAGCTCTCAGTAGCAGTAATGCTAACCAATCAGCTCTCAGTAGCAGTAATGCTAACCAATCAGCTCTCAGTAGCAGTAATGCTAACCAATCAGCTCTCAGTAGCAGTAATGTTAACTAATCAGCTCTCAGTAGCAGTAATGTTAACCAATCAGCTCTCAGTAGCAGTAATTTTAACCAATCAGCTCTCAGTAGCAGTAATGCTAACCAATCAGCTCTCATTAGCAGTAATGCCAACCAATCAGCTCTCAGTAGCAGTAATTTTAACCAATCAGCTCTCAGTAGCAGTAATTTTAACCAATCAGCTCTCAGTAGCAGTAATTTTAACCAATCAGCTCTCAGTAGCAGTAATGCCAACCATCTGAACCATTTCACACCAAACCACTCTAAATCACTCTGTTTACATCTCACTCTCTGAATTTTACAGAAAGTTTGAAAAATCGGTGGAATTCCCCTTTAGCTATCTTTAACTAAATTAGAATAATAGCTAAGTTAATTGAAAATTACAGCATGCAGCAATTTTACAGCATCAGGTTTTCATTTAATTGGCTCCTCTTACATGCAGCGCAACATCGTAATCATCAGTTTAGGCTGATTTTATAGAGCACAATCCGTTAATAATCCGACTAACAGCTCAATCAGAATAGAATACGTCCATGTAAACACCTCAATCAGAAGAGTCTAGTCCAACTGAGGCCATTCAGAATACAGTTTCTATCTGATCGAGGTGGGTAATCCTGTAAATAATCCGTTAAATAGAAGAATAATATCCGTGTAAACGCCTGTATCTGATTACATTCCCTATCCGAAAGTTTAAGTCCGTTCTGATCATGTTCTTCGCGTCACAGTGAAAGTTTATACCGTTCAACATGGCGGAGCAGAAACTGGTCTGCAGAGGAGACGAAGTTTATGCTCTGATCTTTAAAAGACGGCGGTGGGACGGACGTCCAGCTTATGTGTCTCAGAACACGACGTCTTCCTCTCGGCCTTCTTTAATAAGGACATGTGAAGGACGTTTTCCTGAGTCTGACATCATTTTAAAGCAATTAAAAATAAGCGCTGCTCACTGCTGCTCATCTCACTCTGACTGGACTCACGTGATGCTGGTTGTCATGGTAACGTCTACACTAAGCGGTTCTCTACATATGCGCGTAATTTTGGATCTGATTACTTGTAGTGAGCATGTAAACAGATATTTTCATCAGATTGTTGAGTAGAGTGAGAATATAAACTACGTTCACATTAAGCCTCACTGCTTTAATCCGACTTTTTGCTCAAATCCGATCTCTCTGACAGGATGGTTCACACTCGTTTAGTTAAGTGACTCAAATCTGTCATTAATGTGACGAACCGGCGTCCTGAAATGACCCTGATGAGCTCATCCTACTCAGTAACGTCACGTGAATGAATCACGTTCATCATCAGCACAAACTAACGAGCAGAACGAGCTTCGCTGAGAAGATCATTAACTCTGATCAGCTCTCAGCTTCATTATTAGAGCGAGACGAAGGAGAAAAAGGTGAGATGAGCTGCTTTTCCACCGTTTACTTTAACGTCTGTTCGGCACTGCTGCCATGGTAACGCTGAATGATGGCGCAGTGGAATAAAAGCACGAGTTCCGATCTGAGCGTCACATTAAGGTCACGTGGCCACAAATCGGATACGTATCCGATCTAGGACCACATACGAAAGTGACGAAAGTGGTCGGATTTGAACAGATCAGATTTGTGTCCACACAGCCCTGAAAACATCAGATCTGAGTCACATTAGGGCAAAAATCAGATTTGTGCCCCTTCAGCCTGGTAATGTGAACGTAGCCATAAACACCTCAGTCTTAATCTATAATCAGAATGTATTCAATCAGATTGGCAACAAATCTTGGCATGTAAACACAGACCGTGTCTGGTGGGTGAAGCTAATCTGTAAATCAGATGTAAAAAAGTTTGTAAGGATTTAAAGAAAACTTCTAAATGTGCGTCGGGCTATTCGTTTGAGGCCTCTGCTCTAAAAGGGACATTCGCAAAACAAAACTAAATGAAATACTGAATCTATCAGGTGAGCACAAAGAAAAAGTGTCTTTTCCAAAAGTGCATTTAACTTCAGTTACCAATAACTAGATGGACGATGCCGAGATCAAGAAAGACAATATGCCATTTGTTTAATGAAACCTTATAAAACAAATGTTAAAACACGTCTGTTTGACAAAAGAACAACAAAAAGCCTCTTTTCGACATAGAAACGGTCTCTTCGTTATCAACCCGAAGCAGCTTCCCTCTTCT